CTTAATTCCAGTAACTTAGTCTAGTCCGAGTTGCTCCCCACAGGCTCCTGGCTTTGGATCTGCTCAGCTCTGGCCTTTGTGGCCATTTGGGGATTGAACCAGAGGATGGAAGACCTTTCTTTCTGTCTCTCCCTCTCTCTGTCTGTAAGACCTGTAGGGTCTTAGTCCACCCGAACGAGGATGGACTGGGTCTGAAGAAAGGTAAGTGCGCCACTCGCCCATTCCCCAGCCCCACCCCATCCTGGAGACAGATGCAGCGGGGAGTCAAGTCAAGCAAGCAAAAACTCGTTTATTGCGCGCATAGCAAAACCTTTTAAAGCACAAAACTGCAGAGTCATTGGGGCAAGGCATAAGGATCAACCAATTACTTAAAAGGTCATTGTATGGGACGATTTTTTACAGGACCAGCCGTATGTTTGTATACTCGTCATCAGTTGTCGCACCTCCCCTGATGCTGCGCGGCCAGTCAGCTTTGGTGGTAAACAACTTTGGGTACCACCCACCTTACTCCCTTTGGGTGCCATCTTTGAATTACCTTGTATGCCTAATTTCCCTGCACTACCTTTCAAATAAATAAATAAAATCTCAAAAAAAAAATTGAATAGGGAAAGGATGGAGGAAGAGGCCTCATTTCAAATTCAAATTTAAGACACCTTCACCAACAGTATCAGAAGTCCAACATTTAAAATTAAATTTAAAATTCCAGTTTAACAACAAAGTGGCATTCTATTTTACATCTGGATTTTCATCTTTATTACATGCAATTCTATTCTTGCAATCTAAGAGAACCAACATATTGAAAGGTGGCAGACCTCACCAACTGATATAGGACCATTAAATGGAGGTCCTAAGTAAACTGTCATTATTGAGCCAAAGTCCTCTCCAATTTACTTTCACTGTTCTTGGGAACCATATTTGCTCTTTTTCTGAAACTGTTTCAGAAAATGTAATGCATTTTAAATATGTAGCCTTCACAACCTCCTGGAGACTAGTGTTCTTGCTGGCAGAAGAGTTCATTTGAAGGGTTAGAAGCATTAAAAATATGTGTTGGCCTGCTCTGGGAGGAGCTTGTTCATTGGAGGTTACAAACCTTAGCCCAGAAACTTTCCCCAGTGTTTTACATTCATAACAACAACATTCCCAGCTATAAAGTGTGAGGTTTCATTCTTTCTTGGTTGTGGAAAGAAATTTCTCATTGTTTTCAAAGATCTAAATAAGTAGGGAGAGACACACTAATTTCAGAATCCAGGGAAAGCAATTACTGAAAGACTTCTGGCTTTTAAGAGAATAGCTTTTTAATGTGAAACAGACAGTTGGGAGAGGGTGGGGAGGCAGTGGTGGAAGAATATGTTATGAAAATACTGACAAGTTCCATTGGTAAAAGTATGTATGCTTGGCTGAAATCCAGAATGAATATTTTATTATTTTTATGAAAATGTTTAGTGTCTGCTGTAAATCTCTGACTTGTTTTTGTTGCAGTCCCCTAATAGAAAATTAAATGCCTCACATTTAAGTCAGTGACCCACTTTTCAATTTAATTCTAATTCAAAAAATAAAAATTGTAGGTATTCATGGTATACAATATGATTTGAAATAGGTGTACATTGTAGTGTGGCTAAATTACCTCACATACTCATATTTTTCATTATGATAAGACGTAAAATCTACTGGTAATTTTCAAGAATATCATAGCTTCAATTATAGTTACCATGTTGTACAATAGTTCCCCCAAATTCATTTCTCTTATCTAGCTGAAGTTTTTTGTTCTTTGACTGACATCTCCCCAATCCCCAAACCAGTTCCCAGTAACCATCATACTTTTGTCTTCTACTGTGAGTTTGACATTTTTGGATTCCACATGTTAGTGAAATTGTGCAGAACAGCACTCCAATCTTATCTATATTCCAGGACCACTAGATAATACCTGAAACCATGGAGATATATCTATATATAAATCTATATACATTTATATATATATATACACACACAGACACACACACATACACACACACATTATATATATACCATGTTTTTCATAAACATACATACATGTAATAAAGTTTAAACTATTCATTGGGCATAGTAAGAGATTAACAATAACTGATAGCAACAGATATCAGTTATAACAATAGAATAAAAATTATGTGAATCTTGTCTGTCTTTCAAAATATCTCAGCATACTTTGACCTTTTTAGTTAAAGAAGACACTTTATGTTGTACCTTGGTATATTTAGATAGCTGGTATCACTACTCTTATAAAATAGTGGTTACATGAATATAGCACTGCAGTGCCACACTAGTTTATCTGATAACCAAGATGGCTACTAAGTGAATAATGGGGAGTAGGGTGTGCAGTGTAGATGTGCTAGACAAATGAATGATTCTTATCCTGGGCTGGGTGGGATAAGATGATGTGAGGCTTTATCATTCTATCCAGAAAGATACACAATTTAAATCTTATGGATTATTTATTTCAAAAAGTTTTCATTTAATATTTTCAGGCTATGGTTGACTTCAGATGACTGAAACCATGGAAAGCAAAATTTTAGATAGAGCGACTATTGTATTCATCCGTCTGTGTCGGGCTTATTTCACTTAATGCCTTCTAGATTCAATAATATTTTGCCTGTGAAAGAATTTTCACCATTTTAAGCTTAAATAATATTTAATGTAACTGTCCAACAACAGATAAATGAATATATATAGAGAGAGAGATATATAGCATGCTTTCTTTTCCATTTATCAATTGCTTGACACTTGTTATTTCCATGTCTTAGTTACTTCAATGATTTTTTTATTTGAAAGATAGAGCTACAGAGAAGCAGAGGCAGAAAGAGAGAGGTCTTCCATATGCTGGTTCACTCCCCAGATGGCCTCAATGGCCAGAGCTGCACCGATCCAAAGCCAGGAGCCAGGAACTTCTTTCAGGTCTCCTACGTGGATGCAGGGGCCCAAGCACTTGGGCCATCTTCTACCGCTTTCCCAGGCTATAGCAGAAAGCAGGATTGGAAATGGAGCAGCTGGGAGTTGAACTGGCACCCCATGGGATGCCGGCACTACAGGCGGCAACTTTATCCACTATGCCATAGCGCCAGCCATGCTACTTTCAATAATGCTGCAATGAACATTAGAGTGTAGGTTCTCTTTGACATACTGATGTATATTCATTATATTTCCTTTGGATATATACTTAATAGTGTGATTGCTAAGTCATATAAAGAGTTTTATTTCTAATTTTTAGAAAATTTTCATACTGTTATCCATGGAGTGAATTTTATTTAATACTATGACAAGAAAATTTACTGAACACAGTATACTAAAGAAATAAAAAAACAAGTAAATGAAGAATATTCACACTAAATTGTTTGTAAATCTCATTAGTTTTAAAGGAAATCCTGAGAACTTTCTTCATATATCTTCTCATAAACTTGAAGATTACTCTTAGCATCTGCTAGAGTTAATTATAGTTGAGCAATGCTGAGTTCCTGGGCAAAATGATGTTGCGACTCTCTCACCTTTGAAATCACCTGCAGAAGTGGGTGCTCATCTTCATGTTCTATAAAACAGCCTCACAGCCTTTCCTCCTTTTGGTCAAACTGCATCCATATTTTAAGGTCTCTATAAAGTTCCTTTTCTTTTACAAAGCTGTCTTCTGCTTTCATCTCACATGGACTTTCCCTTTTTCTGATCGCTTATTTACTAGTATCCTTAGACTGGTCTCATTAAACAGCTAACTGATCTCCCATTAATTTGCAAGACTTATCCTTCTACCTTGATTTTAAACTTCTTATCAACCACTCTGCACGTGTGTGATCTTGGCTAAACTAAGTAATCTAAATAATCTAAGTGATCTCTTTTTTTTTTTCTAGTCTGTTTCTCTCAGTGCTCTTCTTTGAAATGTATATGTATGCATTATTTTTATATATTACATTGAGTAAGTACTTGTTGCAAAAAATACTGATTTCCATCTCCTGTACTTTTCTTTTACTCTCAATGAAGAAAAATGTTAATTCATGTATTTCAGCATGGGACAAATTGAGTTCTTCAGAGACACTTAAACTCTATTAGAGATTAGAAGCTTAATAAAAATGGAATAGATTTTCTTTAGAATAATGTATCTTATGTAAATAAAAGGAATTAGGAAAGAGTAATTGTTCTGGTTTCACAATTGTTCATGTTAAAATATAAGAAAAGCAGAAAATAAACTGTTATCTTGAATTAGTATGCTAACAGTTGTGTCAAGAACTTATAAATTAGAAAGAATTTAGGAAATGATGGCTTCCTTTCCTATTCGGCCAAGCTAATTCCATGTACTAAATGTATTACTGTAGCCTAATTTAAACTTGTGGTAAAGGGAAATCAGTAGAGCTAAGAATATACTGTGGAATTTTAAAAATTAAAGTACTTCTGGAGTTTTTAATATTACTTTTCCTCATAACAAATTCTCATATTTATATAGAATCTGAGATAAAGGTTCCTCTTCTCTTTGCATTAGAATCATCTTCACATTTCTCCTCCATAGAGCACTGTGTTTTTTAGCGTACAAGTAAATTGCTACAATTTTCATAGAGAGGGGAAATCTCTGAAATGGATTGCTTATATAATGATGAGTGGTCACATAACTGTCTTTTAAACAGAGTGATTGTTAACTATCAGACTTTAGCTTTGCAGAACAAAGTTGTCATTTGGGACTAGAGCAAACTTTCTTGGAGCAATAAAGGAGGTTTATTGACTGTATGGACAAGAGTCGATAAAGAGAGTAAGCCAATCCTGACTGAGGAAGAAAGACAAACTTACAGAGTGCACAAACATATTTCATTTGTATTGTTCTTAAGTGGTCAAAAACATAACCTGAATCTCTTAGGTGATCTCCGCATTGACAAACCTTGCTTCAGCCTCTGTTAGGTAGTCAGTCATGGAAGAATTTAATGCTTACATGCAAAGGTGTCCCATTATTATATGGAAATCATATAATAATCTTCTTGATGTTTGTTTTGCAGGGGTATGACAAAGCATTACCAATTCAAGGTCAGTGTGGGTGAAAACAGAAGCTTCCAATGTGAGGACACCTAATGCTAATAATAGCTTGTCAAGATCCAAGCAAAAAAAAAAATAGAATACAGGTAAAATTTATACAGGATGTCTTCTCCCAAATATCACAGTACCCTTAACCATGCTTTTCTGTCTTGTTTTTTTTACTTGTGGGAGACAGATTTTTGTTTAAAATATTGCCCTACAACTAAGGATGCTGTTGATTATCATTGTAATTATATATTATATATACATATTTTATATATATATAATATATATTGTATATAATATATATCCATTATATATATAAATATATATAAATAGCTGCTACTTCCTGTGTGCTGAGTACTGCCCTAAATATTCTCCAGGTATTAAATTGATTAATCCCTACTTTTCTTTATATCAACCTGAGTAATCCTTGCAATGTGGTTTTATGCTAGGACATTTTTACCATCCTTCCTCTGTCACACTAGGAACAAACACCAATAAAAACACAGAAATGCATTTCCCTAAGATAGAACTATTCAGTCCAGAATAATGTCATGAAGAAAATCATTATAAGCATGTGAGTTTTGGCACTTCAGTTTCTGCAGACAGACAGTTGAGACAGGTAGTAAACCTTCATTAATTCACAACCTGGAAGTTAGTCTTTCAAATGGAAATATGGGGCAATAGAAAAGAAACTATAAAACCAAACATTTATTTTATATTTTCATAGTTGTATCATAACTCTATTCCTACACAGACCTGAAAAGTAAAAATATTTTTAAAAACTCAAATGATTGCAAACTTTCCAGGCTGAAAACATCTATCTGTAATTTTTCCATTTTCAGAGTTTTTAATTATTCATTCTTTGAGTATTTTCTAAAACCTGATGACAAACACAAAGTAAAATAAAATGAAATAACTGAAAATATGCTAGGTGGAGGTGGTAAGTAAGGATTGCCTATAATTTGAATCTCTTGAATGAAGTAATGATCCTTAACAAAATGAAGATACAAGTTTGCCATAGGATAAACTTTATTTACTTTATCATGGAAGGAGAAAGAAAATATATGGTAATGATGTAAAAATATGAAGTTAAAAGGATTGTATACAAATATGGACAGATTAAAGTTCTGCCATGTAATAATAAATAATTTTCTGTATTTACTGCATGAAAAGGACAATATGTTCAAATTGGTTTTATGGTTTGGGAAGCAACTAAATCCCAGTATATGCCATTGGAAATGTTGGCTACCTTCTGTTGTAGAAGCCAGACTATGCCTTTAATGATAGTACATTTGATTGCTATTACCCAGACCCAAAGGGACAGCATGAGACCTAATTTTGAAATCCATCATTGACAATCTAATATGGGACTAGTGCTATGAATCTTGAAATTTGACTAGAAACAGATGGATGAGGATCAAATTTAGGACCTCAGAATTATCCAATAGAAAATTGTTGCTGGCTATGGTCCTAGTATGTTTGTTGACATCTGTTTTTCCACCGTTACATGTCCCTATTCAAAGTGCCTGGATTTTTTCTTCAAACATACATTGTTTGTATGTAATACATAGCAGTAATCCTAACTAGTAAATGAATTTTACAGGGCTATAAGACATTTTCTGCTGACAAATTTTATTGTTTGGTGATGTCTGTGGTTATTTTTGCTTTACTATTATAATCCTAGAGGGAATGAAAATCTAATCAGCTCATCCAAGAAGGTCACTTGTAGTGATGAATGGATCAGCCATGGTATCTGAATTATAGTTTAGGAGAATTAGAAATGCCTGAGAAAAACCCCACCATGAGCACACACAGAAAGAAGTGTTTCATAATTGAAACTACTTCCATAAGACTTTTCCCAACTTTTTCTGTGAAGAATTTCATTGACAGTACATTTTGAAAGGTTGGGAGATAATTCAGTGGATGAATATGAATTATTTGGCTTGATGATTCATTAATTACACTGTGTCACATAGCTTTCTTATACCCCTAAGATCATCATTCCCTGTCTTATAGTGTTTCTGCCTCCCAAAAGATCTTTATGGATCCAGGGCTCTCTTCTACTGGGTTGTCAACTCAAAAGAGAAGAGAGAAAGTTAGAATAGAGGAGAGAGGACAGAAGAGAGAGGAGACGAAGGAGAGAGGATAGAGAGAAGATAAAGAAGACAAAAAAAAAAAAACTTTCTCTCAGCTATGTGGTTTCTCCTTGGCCTGGCTTCGTCTCTCAATGAAGGGTCAAATCTTCTCTCCAGGTGGCTGTCTCCACATGGCTTTTTAAGAATTTCTATAATTGTTCTGTCCACTCACTCCTTCAGGGGTGCAAAGAGTCCTGGAGTTCACCCTGCCACATCTTTGAAAATAGTTCCTTTATTAAACTCCCTTGAGTTATCCTAATTTGAATGTGCCATCTGTTTCTTGCTGGCATCCTAATATACACATGATCAAATCTCAAAATTTAGTAACACAATGTGTCTCTTGATGATTGAATAGCTAGTTTGAATGGTTGAAAAACTAATTACAGGAGGTTCCTTTCACTGCACAAGTCATAGCTAGTACAGCAAACATCTATCAGACTCCTGGATTATATTAAACAGTTAGATATTATCACCATGGTCCTTTTGTTTTGGTTTTACAGAGCTGTTAAAAACAGCCTGTCTTAATACATTTGAGATTATTATTGCATCTCAGAATTAAAACAAACTGTGCTTCAATAGTTCAATAATGAGTGGGGGCAAGGATTAGGAGATAGGAAGAGTGAAGCATTAAAGAAAAAAAAAAGCTCACACGAAACAACCTCCTACAATGCCAACTTTTCATATTTGTGCCACTTTGTTTCCATGCTGCTGCACTTGTGATCTAGCTCCCTGCTAATGTGCCTGTGAAAGCAGTGGACAATGGCCCAAGTACTTGGGTCCCTGCATCCATGTGGATGAAATACCCAGAAGGTCCTGGCTCCTGGCTGCAGTCTAGTTCAGCCCTAGCCATGAGGCCGTTTTGGGAGTGAACCAGCATATGGAAGATTCCTATTTTCTCTCTGTTTCTCTCTCTCTATCTCTCCTCCTCCTCGCCTCCCCCTCACTCCCCTTCTCTTCCTCTCTCTCCCTCTTCCCATCCTTCTCCCCCTCCCTTTTTCTCCTTCTCTCTCCCTTTCCCCCTCTCTCCTTTTCCTCCTTTTTCCCCTCTCTCTCCTTTTCCCTCTCTCCCCCTCTGTACCTCTTCCCCCTCCCTCTTCTTCCTCTACCTCATCCTCATTTCCCTCTCTTCCTCCCTTTCTCTGTAACCCTGCCTTTCATATAATAATTTTTTTATGAAAACTTCAGGGCTGGCATTGTGGTATAGCAGGTTAAGCTTCTCCCCTATGATGCTGGCAACCCATATAGGCACTGGTTTGAGTTCCGGCTGCCACACTTCCAATCCAGCTCCTGCCTGTGTGCCTGGGAAAGCAGAGAAGATAGATCAAGTCCTTGGGTCCTTTACTCATATGAGAGACTGGGATGAAGCTCCTGAAAAAGCTCCTGCCTTCTAGCTCCTGGCTTTGGCCTGGCCCATGCCAGCTGTTGTGACCATTTGGGGAGTGAGCTAGCAGATGGAAAATATCTCTGTCTTTCCCTCTCTGTGTAGCTCTTCCTTTAAAGTACAATAAATAAATCTTTGAAAAGAAGAAAGATGGAAAGCTTCAGTGAAAGCTTCAGTCACTGGTGAATAATCTCATTAAAAATAGCTACTAAACAAACTAATGAAAACTACTAGACCATGTTTCATTTCAGTGGATAATTTCCTTTGAAATAAAAAAGAAATGGGTAGCCCTACTTTATCATTTTTTATACTATCCACAGACCCCAAGCAGCAATCCTTAGAATTTAACTTTTCTTCTATTTATCTTTCTTCCTCAGGACTCAATTTCAATGTCTCCACTTTTGAAAACCCTGCCAGATTCACACCTTATTGATATCTGTAGTACTTACCTGTATTTCTTGAATACACTGTGTTATTCCAAAATGTTATGATTTAAAGATTTTTGAAATTGCCTGATTAGATGCTATCTCTATATTTAATGCAAGATTATCCATGGAGACAAGAATGTTAGCTGTTCATCTGTGTATCTATTACATTTACCCCATTGCTTGGCAAATAATTGGCACCCAAGTTATAAAAAAGGACCTTGAACATATTAAGATAGCATTAGGTTCACTTAGTATTACACCAGTATCTGAAGTTGTTTCTGTAGATTTGAGACGACACATATAAATTGTGGAACACCCAAACTTTGTATGAAGTTAAATTTTTGACTGACCATAACTTGTACAAGGATCATATATATTAGAAAATGTGATGCGGGTGCTGGTACCGTGGCTCACTTGGTTAATCCTTCTCCTGCAGTGCCAGCATCCCATAAGGGCACCAGGTTCTAGTCCTGGTTGCTCCTCTTCCAGTCCTGCTCTGTGCTGTGGCCCGGGAGGGCAGTGGAGGATGGCCCAAGTGCTTGGGTGCCTGCACCTGCATGGGAGACCAGGAGGAAGCACCTGGATCCTGGCTTTGGATTGGCGTAGCTCTGACCATAGCAGCCATTTGGGGGGTGAACCAATGGAAGGAAGACCTTTCTGTCCCTCTTTCTCTCACTGTCTAACTCTATCTGTGAAATAAAAAGAAAAAAATGTGATGCCTATGTTGGTAGGTCAAGGCTAATATCATGAATATTAGATCAGTAAGTTGTTATGGATACAGCAGGGAAAGTAATATTAAAAACATTTTAATAGGGTGGTCATTGTATTGGTGCTGACCCAGAAATTATATCAATACTTCCAGATATAGTGTTCACCAACATATCAGTGGAGACATATTTTGTTTTAAATATACACAAGAAAGATGTATTTAATCCCTAATGGAATTTCTTCTTTCAATTGCTCAGCATTTCAATCGGCATGCTCTTGTAAAATTCCTTTCAATTACTTAAGTCACTTCAGGAGATGGCAAAAGATTATATGTTCTAACAAGAATAGTACTTTGCATTTAGATGATTCATTTTAGGAAATAGCTTATAATAATTTGAGCATTGAAATTATCTCATGACATTCGTCCATCTTAGGTGCCTGAGGGATATTAAAAATACATGAATATATGAGAGCAGTGAAATAAAAGCACATAATTGTAATGAATGAATGATGGATGAAGTTTATAGATGAAAAATTTTAAATAGCAGAATTCTAGCAAATTGACATTACATAATTTTCCAGGGCATAAATAATAGAGAGACATTGAGATACTCTGTCCATGTACGTTTAGACATCCTTTGAGACTGCTAAATATTTCCAGCTAAAGAAGTAACTAGAACAATTTTGTTATTCTCTCAAACTATATAGTCTATAATAATGCAACATTTAAACCAGTAAACATTTATTAAGGATGAAGGATGGTAATAGGCACTTTACAGAAATAAAAAGACACAGTCCTATCATTAGAGTGGTAAAATCATACCTGACATAATAGCATCTTAATAATCTAACATTAAAAAAATAAGTGAATATTGAACAAATAAATTAAATGCAAAGAAATATTGTTAATAAACAAAATTTATTGTAGATACAGCATTATACAGATATTTGTTTCATTCCTTTCATAGAACTGTATGAAGTAGATATTATTTAGTTTCATAAGTTAACAATGCTAATATTATCTTTAAGGCATAAAACTGAGAATTGTAATACCTGAATTTGAATTCCTGGCTACCTAAGTTCACAATGTTTTCTGCCTATTCACACTGTCCATAGAACACTGGAAATAGGTTATATATACCTATACAGGTCCACACAATAGTTGTTTTCCAAAGAAAAATTTCTACTGTATAAAAATATGATGGATTAAGAGGTCAGAATCCATAATTTTTAAATTTTTATTTTTAACTGATACATAAAATAATGATTCTATGTGATGTTTTGATACATGTATTCTTCATATAATGTTTAATAATCAGTACATGGTCATTATCCATAGTCACTCTACTGTGCTATAAAGTAGAACTTATTCATATCCAACTTGTCCATACATAAGTTAGTAAGCATCATCCTTTCCCCATTCTTCTCTTACCCTCTACTTTATCCAGCCTCTTAGAACCATGATTCTACTACTACGATACAACCTGTTTTAGATTCCACATGAGAGCATGCGGTATTTGTCTTTGTCTTTCTGTGCCTGACATTCAGTTCTTAACATAATGACTTCTAATTCTATCTCTGTTGTCACAAATGTTAAGACTTTGTTATTTTTTATGACTGAGTTGTATTCTCTTGTATATGTGTACCATATATTCTTTATCCATTCATATTTATTAATTAATGGACACTTACATCATTTCCATCTTTTGGCTATTGTAAATAGTATTATGATAAACATGACAATGCAGATGATTTTTCAATACACCAATTTCATTTATTTTGGATATATACCCAGTTGTGTGATTTCAAGATTATAATATAATTCTACTTGTAGTTTTTTTGAGGAAACCTTAACTGTTTGCCATACCATTTAGATGTCTCTCATTTAAAAAAAATACAAAAATATCAAGTGTTGGCAAGAGTATGGGGTGATTGGAACTTTGCACATTGCTGTTAGTTTTGTAAAATATTGTAACACTATGGAAGATGATACGGTAGTTCTTAAAAAAATTAAAAATTGATTTACTATATAACACAGAAATTCTACTTCTGCATATAAATCCAAAAGATGTGGAATCAGAGACCTGAAAATATGACGATTTATTTACAAAAGCCATACTTTGGAAGCAATCCAAGTGTCTACCCATACATAAATGGATAAATAAAATGTGATATAAACATACAGTGGAATGCTAGTCAACAGTTAAATTGAAAGAAAATCTGATACATGATACAACATGATGAACTTTGAAGCCATGCTTAATTCAACAAAGCCAGTAACTAAAGGACAAGTATATGATTCTATTTATGTGAGGTACCTAGAATAGCCGCATTCATAGAGATAGAAAGTAGAATGGTGGTAGTCAAGGACTGCAGTAAATAGGAAGTTATTGTTTAATGAATACAGAATTTGTGTTTTGGAACAAAAAGAAAGTTCTAGGGGTGGGTGTTTGATGCAGAAGTTGACACTGCTTGGAACATCTGTATCCCATATCAGAGTGATCAGATCTTGGCTCCTGAGCTTCTCATCCAGTTTCCTGCTAATACATACCTGGGAGACAGCATGTGATGGCTCAAGTTCTTATATCTCTGCTACTAACATGGGAGACCCAGATTGAGCTTTGGGGTCCTGGATTCAGCCTGGCTTAGATTTGGCTGTTGCATATATTTGGGGAGTGAGCCAGCAAATGGAAGATATCTCTCTCTCTCTCTCTCTCTCTCTCTCTGTCTGCCTTTTGAATATAATGAAAATAAATACAGAGTTGTTTTTTTTTTTTTTAAAAAAGAAATTCTAGAGTTGGGATGGTGATGTTTGTACAATAATGTGATTGTACTTAAAACCACTGAACTGCAGATTTTTAAATGGTCAAAGAAACTAATTTTATGTATATTTTTGCTACATAATTTTTATTAAAAAGTTAAAAAAAGGATAACCAATAACCAAATTTTTCTTTTTTTTTTTGACAGCAACCTTTTAAGAATTGACCCTGAATTTTGTAAATGTGTCTTACAAAGACCAGCACAGTCCTAAATGTGATTAGAAGCCACATCCAAATCCCTCTGCTGAGATTTCCTGTCTCCCTTCAGAGTGCTCTCTCAGTATACAGTAAATCAATAATTTCTAAATCTATATGCATACATGTTTAATTTATAATTTACAGAAATTTTACTGTGAGTAGTTTTTATTGTAAGTAATCTTGCTACAAAACAAACTATCATAGATTTAGTTTAGCTAGTCTTTAAATTGAAATTTCATAATTTGATTTTTATAAACATCCATAGAAACACGAATCCACAAACTCTTTCCTCTCTCTCCAAAGTGAAAATAAAATAATTTTTGGTCCTCCCTCTGCTGGAGTCCCTCAACAAACACTCAAGGGGCTGGTGCTGTGGCACAGCAGATTAAAGCCCCAGCCTGCAGCACCAGCATCCCGTGTGAGCACTGGTTTGAGTCTGAGCTGTTCCACTTCTAGTCCAGCTCTCTGCTAATGTGCCTGGGGAAGCAGTAGAATAAGGCCCAAATCTTGGGCCCCTGCATCCAAGTGGGAAACCTGGAAGAAGCTCCTGATCCTTCAGATCAGCTCTCAACTCTAGCCATAGTGGCCATTTGGGGAGTGAACCAGCAAATGGAAGATCCCCCTTTCTGTCTCTACCTCTCTTTGTAACTCTGTCTTTCAAATAAATAAAAAAAAAAAATCTTAAAAAAAAGCACTCACTAACAGATTGTGAGCAACCATAACAAATGACATTACAGGATTATGATTCTGCTCTGTAAAATGCAAGAGGGATCATGTAGAATTTTTATGCTATAAATGTGAATGTCTAAATGTTATACACATAGACATTGATCAATACAATATGTCAATAATAATAAATATTTAAGTGACTCCTCAAGTTTTCTTTCTCAGTCTCATTTACAACAAAGATAGTAAATGGATTTCAGCTCTCATTTCAACGCTGGTTACTTTGGAGAATAAGCTCATTTCTTCTTATGCATTGGTGCTGAAAAAAATCATTATTACTTTTCCTATTACATGACAGATGGTCAATAAATATTTGTTGAAGTTAATGAATGATAGTGCTTCACTGAGAATTGTCTTGAGAAAGATTTTTTTTGGTGGGGTGGGAATGGAGGGACCATCGTGGAGCGTCCATGTAATCGTAAAATGCTTAGTCCCTTAGGCCGGCGCTGCAGCTCACTAGGCTAATCCTCCGCCTTGCGGCGCCGGCACCCTGGGTTCTAGTCCTGGTCGGGGCACCGGATTCTGTCCCGGTTGCCCCTCTTCCAGGCCAGCTCTCTGCTGTGGCCAGGGAGTGCAGTGGAGGATGGCCCAAGTGCTTGGGCCCTGTACCCCATGGGAGACCAGGAGAAGCACCTGGCTCCTGCCATCGGATCAGCGGGGTGCGCCAGCTGCGGCGGCCATTGGAGGGTGAACTAACGGCAAAGGAAGACCTTTCTCTCTGTCTCTCTTTCTCACTGTCCACTCTGCCTGTCAAAAAAAAAAAAAAAAATTGCTTAGTCCCACAGACTGAAATAGGAGTATTAACCACACAAATGCTAAAGTTGTAGCCAAGGACTTCTCAACCTTTAGTGAACAAGCAAATTCCCTGGGGATCTTATTAAAATGTAGATTCTGAATCAGTGGTTCTAGGGGATAAGAGCTCTATGTTCTGGGCCTCAGGTAAAACTTTGAATTTAGAGCATGATTCTAAAATTAATAGTGGTTCTTGTTAAAACTCCCTGAGTTTCTGTTTCATGAAATCTTGGGTAGAGACTGGTTATCTGCATTTATAAGAAGTTCCCAGGGCCAGCACTGTGGCATAGCAGGTAAAGCTGCTACCTACAGTGCCAGCATCTCATATGGGTGCCAGTTCAAGTCCCAGTTGCTCCACTTTCCATCTAGCTCTCTGCTATGGCCTGGGAAAGCAGTAGAAGATGGCATAAGTACGTGGGCCCCTGCGCTGGTATGAGAGACCTGGAAGAAACCCCTGGCTCCTGGCTTTGGATTAGCCCAGCTCCAGCCACTGTGGCCATTTGGGGAAGGAATTAGTGGATAGAAGACCTCTTTGTCTCTTTCTCTGTTTGTCTCTCCCACTGTGCCTCTCTGTAACTCTTTCTAAAAAATAAATAAACCTAAAAAAAAAAAAAAAAAAAAGAAGTTCCCAGTTGGTAAAGATGTTGGTGTGTCTCCCACACAATACTTTAAGAATCACTAGCTAGAGTATGTGAGAAATAGGAAGCATCATTCCTCAGTAATAATAAACAAACAGGCAAGTTTGAAGCTCATTGTGTATCTGGGTCTTACAATACAATTGGGTAATTTCCAGTTGATGCTTCCTTTCTTAGCATTCCAGATGGAGCCTTGGTTTGTGACCCATTTAAAATATTTCTTTCTTTCTTTTTTTTTAAATGATTTATGTATTTATTTTGAAAGACAGATTTACACACAGAGAAGAGAGAGAGAGAGATCATCTTCCATTTACTGTTTCACTCCCCAACTGGTTGCAACTACTGGAGTTGTGCCAGTCCAAAACCAGGAGCCAGGAGCTTCTTCTGAGTCTTCCACATGGGTACAGGGATCCACGGACGTGGACCATTGTTCTTTTCTTTCCCAGATGCATTAGCAGGGAACTGGATCAGAAGTGGAGCAATCAGGACATGAACCAGTGCCCATATTTGAGGCCAGTATCTCAAGCAGCAATTTTATCTGCTATGCCATAACATTGGCCCCTAAAATATTTCTAGGAAAGTAATAACCTTTGAAAAATATCTATTTTTTGTAGATGTCTTGAGGAATTAAATGAGGATCTATTTCATCTGTTGTCCTTAAATGTAATAAAAATTCTATGGAATTTTTTTTTTTTTTTTTTTTTTTTTTTTGACAGGCAGAGTGGACAGTGAGAGAGAGACAGAGAGAGAAAGGTCTTCCTTTGCCGCTGGTTCACCCTCCAATGGCCGCCGCTGCAGCCGGCGCACCGCGCTGATCCTGGCAGGAGCCAGGAGCCAGGTGCTTTTCCTGGTCTCCCATGGGGTGCAGGGCCCAAGCACCTGGGCCATCCTCCACTGCACTCCCTGGCCATAGCAGAGAGCTGGCCTGGAAGAGGGGCAACCGGGACAGAATCCGGCGCCCCAACCGGGACTAGAACCCGGTGTGCCGGCGCCGCAAGGTGGAGGATTAGCCTATTGAGCCACGGCGCCGGCTCTCTATGGAATTTTAAGCAGAGAATCTGTCCCTTTCAAGAGAGAAACAATCTGACATAGACAGATATATGTCATTCACACATCATGGCACTTTTTCTCTTTCTTAGGAACTTTAAATTAAGCAATTAAGCAAAACAAAACAAAGTCATGGGCATGATTCTCTCTGGCACTGATGCATCCTAAGCTATCTACAGCTGAATTAATGTGCTTTGATGGGATATTGACTTACCCATTTGAAAGTTCATTTATCACAATCCTGTGAACTGTGAAATAGTTTTCAGCATTTGGTTAATCCAGTTCTGTGGTTCATAATTTATTATTATGATTGAGAAAAGGAAGATTATATTGAACCATTTGAGTCCCCAGAAGATGTATTAAAGCAAAAAGAAGAATCTGATGATTTCTGAAAATGTAATTTGCCTAGGCCAAGCAAAAATACATGTTGAAAACCCATGAAGCGAAGAATTCACCTAATATTACATACTTTCATTGCAATATTTTGTTACCTTTGAATTTTGAGTCTATGTGTATTCAAATGTATCCTTAAATGGTAGAATTCACATGTGTAGAAGGAAAGGAAATAGAAGATCCACAGGGCCAGCATTTGCCATAGCAAACCTGCATTTTGCTTAGCAAACTTTTGGCATAGCAAAACCATAAAAAAGCCACCACCTGCTCTGCTGGTATCCCATATGGGCTCCAGTTGTTATTCTGGCTGCTCCACTTCTGATCAGCTCTCTAATAATGGCCTGGAACAGCCACAGAAGATGGCCCAAGTGCTTGGACCCCTGCCACCCACATAGGAGATCTGGAAGAAACTCTGGCTCCTAGCCATTGCAGCCATGTATGGAGTAAACCAGTGGATGAAAGATCTCACTCTTCTATCTCTCCTCTCTGTGTGTAACTCTGCCTTTCAAATAAATAATAAATATTAACTAAATCTACTTGCACATGGAATTTTATGTCCTACTTATTAGTCTTCTTTGTTGACTGAGAATAATTATAATTTTGTGAGTTTTCATCCACTAAATATTTGCCAGTGAAACATTCTAAAATATTCACCATGTGTATGTCTTCATATCCTTAATGTTTGTTTTTTGGTTAATACTGTCTAATATCAGCACCACGGGAAGCTTAATTAGAAAATTTCCCTTTGTATTCAGTTTTCCCTTCTGGTATAAAATGCCCATTCTTTGCCAAATCATGGCTATCATCTACATTAGTTTATTTTTTTAATTTTTTTTACAAACCTTGTTTCATTAGTTTCTCCTTACCGTGTTTCTTTTAGAGTGTGGGTGCAGACTCAGGTGGTGGCTCTTATCTGGATGTTTGCAGTGTGAGCTAAGGCTTTGCTTGTGTTCACTCTCATACAGAGAAAATATCAGGTAGTGTCAAACTTGAGTCCTGATCCAGTGCTGAGTAACTATGTAACCTTGCCCAAGTAGATTAAACTCTGTCTTCATTCAAAAAATGGGAACAATGAAACTTTGCTTCCCATGTTTGTTACAAAGACTAAATGAAATCACATATGTGATACCTATAAACAGTACCTGACACATAATAAGACACCACTAAATTTTTTTTATTTGACAGATAGAGTTAGAGAGTGAGAGAGAGAAAGAGAGAAAGGTCTTCCCTCCGCTGGTTCACCCCCCAAATGGCCGCTACGGCGGGAGCTACGCCAATCCGAAGCCAGGAGCCAGGTGATTCTTCTTGGTGTCCCATGTGGGTGCAGGGGCCCAAGCACTTGGGTCATCCTCCACTGCCTTCCTGGGCCACAGCAAAAAGCTGGACTGGAAGAAGAGCAACCAGGACCAGAACCTGGTGCCCACATGCGATGTCAGTGCTGCAGGCGAAGGACCAACCAAGTGAGCCACGGCACCGGCCCGATACCACTAGATTTTAACTACTATCATCATTGTAAAATTATTTTTAATACAAAGGCAAAAACAGGTTCAACAAAATGAAGTCACCAATTGTCATAGCTTTGGACCTCATCCATAAAATAAATATTATGTTCATTTATTAATTATTAAAGAAAGACGCTATAGAGAACTCTTTCTACTTCCCAGTATATACGGAAAGCTGGAATCTGAGAAAGCACAAGATTACTGACATTTTGCTTATACTTAAATCCCATGCTTTTTTGAAAAAAAAGATCAACGGTGATCAACCAGATGAATCCAGCTACAAGAGAGTCCGGATCCAGATGAAATAAAATACAAGTCAGCCCTGATTCTTAGAAACTTTATGGAAATGTGGGTGTGTCTTATTCTGGACTAAATATTACTTTCTTAATTTAGTAGTTATGTTCACATTCAATATCTAAGATAGTGAATCTTTGCAAGGCAATAAAAACAAAAATAAATGGGACTATGTCAAATTGAGAACCTCTACACTGCAAAGGAAACATTCAGCAAAGTGAAGAGGCAACAAATAGAATGAGAGAAAATATTTGTAAACTACGCAATTGATAAAGGATTAATATCCAGGATCTATAAAGAGCTCAAGAAACTCAATAACAACAAAACAAACAAGTCAGTTAAGAAATGGGCAAAAGACATGAACAAATATTTTTCAAAGAATGAAATTCACATGGCCAACAGGCGCATGAAAAAAATGTTTAGGATCACTGCCATTAGGGAAATGCAATAGAAACCATAATGAGGTTTTACTTGAACCCAGTTAGAATGGATATCATCCAGAAATCAAGTAAGTGCTGGCAAGAATAAGGGGGAAATATACTGTTGGTGGAAAGGTAAAGTAGCACAACCATATGAACGACAGTATGAAGATTCTTCAGAAATCTGAAGATAGATTTACTATATGACCCAGCAATCCCACTTCTTGGAATATATCCAAATGAAATGAAATCAGCATATGAAAAAAGTTATTTGTACCCCCAAGTTTCTTGCAGCTCAAATCACAATAGCTAAGATAGGGAATCGACCCAGTCATCAGTTAAATGTAGTATGAACCAACCAGCAGATAGAAGATCTCTTTCTCTGTCACTCACTATGCCTTTTGAATATAAATAAATAAGTAAATCAATAAATGTCAAAATAGAAGCAGATAAGTCCACATTCTAAAAAAATATTTTTAGCACATGTTTTTGTCAGGAACTATCATGTATATAAAATGTCTGTAAAAATTCAATATGGAATACAAAAACCATATTGTAACAAAACAGATATCTTGATTTAATTGTTGTTTTTAGCCTTGTTTATACTCTTGCGGAACTTTGGACTTTCTATTTTTTTATTTGTTGAATATTAAGGTTAGGAGCACATTAAGCCTGTGATTTTGGAGTAGACTGAAATTATGTTTTTGCAAAAATTAAAAAAAGGAATAAAGAGGAAATGCATGATATCTTTTCTTTTTATAAAATAAAAAAACTAATAATTTCTTCTTTTTTGTTCTTTTAAAATTTTATTTATTTTTCAACTGTTATTTAATAAATATAAATTTCCAAAGTACAACTTTTGAATTATAGCAGCTTTTCCCCCCATAACCTCCCTCCTACCCACAACCATCCCATCTCCCACTCCCTCCCATCCCATCCCATTCTTCAGCACAATTCATTTTCAATTATCTTGATATACAGAAGATCAACTTAGTATATACTAAGTAAAGATTTCAACAGACTGCATCCAGAAAGACACACAAAGTATAGAATACTATTTCAGTAGTAGTTTTACCGTTAATTCTCAAAGTACAACACATTAAGGGCAGGGGTCCTACATGGGGAGCAGGTGCACAGTGACTCCTGTTGTTGATTTAACAATTGACACTCTTGTTTATGGTGTTAGTAATCACCCAAGGCTCTTGTCATGAGCTGCCAAGGCTATGGAAGCCTCTTAAATTCGCCAACTCTGATATTATTTAGACAAGGCCATAGTCAAAGTGGAAGTTCTCTCCTCCCTTCAGAGAAAGGTACTGCCTTCTTTGATGGCCCGTTGTTTCCGTTGGGATCTCACTCACAGAGATCTTTCATTTAGGTGGTGGTTTTTTCTCTTGCGAGACCCATATTGCCACAGTGCCTTGGCTTTCTATGCATGAAAAACTCTCAAGGGCTTTTTAGCCATATCTGAATGCCTTAAGGGCTGATTCTGAGGCCACAGTGCTGTTTAGGGCATTTGCCATTCTATGAGTCTGCTGTGTCCTGCTTCCCACGTAGGATCATTCTCTCCTTTTTAATTCTATCAATTGTTTGCAGACACTGGTCTTATTTGTGTAATCCCTTTGACACTTAATCCTATCTTTTTGATCAGTTATGAACTTAAACTGATCACTATAACAAGTAAGATGACATTGGTACATGCCACCTTGATGGGGATGAGTTGGAATTCCCTGGCCCGTTTCTAGTTCTACCATTAGGAGTAAGTCTGAGTAAGCATGTGCCAAACTGTACATCTCCTCCCTCTCTTATTCCCAGTCTTATATTTAACAGGGATCACTTTTCAGTTAAATTTAAATGACTAAGAATAATTGTGGGTTAATTAAAGAGTTCAACCAATGGTATTAAGTTGTATAATAATAGATTTATAGGTACTATAATCATTTATCATAAGATTTATTATAATAAAAGATTCATCGTTATTAGTATGTCTGAGTTACTCTACTTTGCATCTCATATGCATTTTCTACTGAGTCTAAAAAATTTTTTTTCTTTCTGTAAAATAAAACATATATGATGCAAAAGAAATTAAATTTGTTAATCACTATGTCTTTATCTTAATTTCACTGCTATATTTTTATAACATTATTTGAGAGATGGAATACTTCAAAATACACATACCATATATTTTTAAATGTGTTAGTAATGTCAACTGTATTGCTTATATAAAGACCAACTAATCTATATCAAAAAAATGTTTAGTAAACCTTGACGTTTAGGTCTTGTCTGTGTTACCACCTTCAGGTTGATTTATATGAAACTCATTCCTTGAATTATAAAATAGATTTAAGAGTCAGAGAATGAATAATGGATTCAGATCTCTAGAAAAGATGATATGTACCTGGGGTACAGAAAATATTTTTGCTATTAGATTATGCTTTCCTTAATGGCTGAAAATACACTTTATGCTGACTTTTTCTGAACACTCAACAAAGTATAGCGTAGGTATTCATTAACTAAATTGTTGTTGAACTTCAGATAGTAGGTTCTCCTATAGTATGTTTCACTTGTTTTGCACGTTGGCTCTTGGAAGGGTACCTCATAATATGGAAAATATGTTTTGAAAAACCTGTTAAGGGATACCTCTTATTAGTCCCATTTCCTTGTGGGTATATTACCTTATATTCTTCTTATTATTTATCAAATAATTAGTTACATTAACTACCTCCATATTCAGTGACCTCAAATATGTTTTACTTCTCATGCTTCTACAGCTTTCCTGGAGTTAGCAGATCTAGGGTAGTCCATGTTGGTGCTCTCTTCTATGTGTCTCAGATCTCTTTAGACTTTCAAGGTAATTAATAGATGTCTTTCCATGTCCAAATTGCAAAAATAAAGTAAAATCATGCAAGGAATTTTGAGTTCTAGGCTCAGCTTAGTGGATGGGTTTCCTAAAACATGGAAGGCTTCTGAACACAGGGAATGAATGATGGAGATTAAAGTTACCACCATTCACATCAATTTGAAAATTTTTCTTCAATCACACATTAACACCCATTTGAATATTTTCATGTCTATATAGATTGCTATACTTTGAAAAGAACCTTTAGATTGATACCATGAAGATAACTATAAGATAAATATATATTTATGAAAATTTAAAATATTACTATATATAACATCTATAATTTTGTGTCACACTAATGGAACATTATACCTTGAGAAACCACTAGTCTATTAAAACATCATATAAAGTAGTTAATCATAATGTAAATGTTCCTATTTTCAGGGTCATATTCATAACTAGTTCTTGGCCACAATTCTGCATCATCATTATCTATATATTAGAAATCTTGAAGAAGACAACATTAATTCAGATACTATACTATCTCAGATAACAGCTTTCTCAAGTGCTAGATTGTAATTAATTCATTATTAAATTCTTTCAGGAATGTAAGAATTTCTTCAAATAAATTACATTTTCTACAGGGAAAATATTCTTTTTTTTTTTTTCCACAGGCAGAGTGGACAGTGAGAGAGAGAGAGAGAGAGAGAGAGAGAGAAAGGTCTTCCTTTGCTGTTGGTTCACCCTCCAATGGCCTCCGCGGCCGGCACACCGCAGCCAGCGCATCGCGGCCGGCTCACCGCGCTGATCCGATGGCAGGAGCCAGGTACTTATCCTGGTCTCCCATGGGGTGCAGGGCCCAAGGACTTGGGCCATTCTCCACTGCACTCCCTGGCCACAGCAAAGAGCTGGCCTGGAAGAGGGGCAACCAGGACAGAATCCGGCGCCCCGACCAGGACTAGAACCCGGTGTGCCTGCGCCGCAAGGCGGAGGATTAGCCTAGTGAGCCGCAGCGCCAGCCCAGGAAAATATTCTTATTAGCAAAGTTTCTTTGTGAAAATACTGAGACAATGATGAACATGATGAAAATTTAGTTTAAAATGTATCTCCTTTAGTGACAGTAGCATTGGGAAAATTCCAGATGGCAAAATGATTAGACTAGTTATCATTTTGATTCCTCTCACAATACATAGTAACTAAAAGAGATTCAAATGCTTTCCTTATGATAATAATGAGGTCACAAGACAAGCAACTTTTAAAGTATTATGTTCAAGACATTACTCTCCCATTTTTCCATGTTTAGGTAAAATTTATAAATATCATACTGTGGTGAGGATATTTAGTAATAACCTAAGGAATGTGACTGTTCTGGTTATAAGCTTGTGACTGAGACATTCTATTACATCTATTGCCAGTTCATGATAAGCACTTGATCCTATTTGGCATATTCCAGGCATGGGGCTGTGAGCCCTTCAAAGAAAAACTGCTTGAGTCAGGAATCATTTCAGGGATGGTTTCCATAAAACTTAAGTCAACAGTCTTAGTGTTACACTGGCAGGTGCTCTGGTGACATTATACCTCATTGAAGACATAGTCAAGTGTCAGTGGTAAATGACACCAACTTTAGCAGAATGCCTGGGAGTCTCCAAGAACAGAGAATGAAAGGAAGTTTTAAGAGGAATGGCTTCAAGGCAATTTCTGTTACTTTACTCTCTTGAGAGAGTTGCTAATCTGCCTCCCTGATTTCCTTAGAGTAAAGGGCTTTCTACCTTGTCCTGTCTTAGGGTAACATTGTAAGTGATAAAACTGCTTAGTGCTTTCTGGAATTGGCTGCTCAGAAATAAATTGCCTCATAACTCATTTGCAAGTCATCTGATACCTTTTGTTTCAGTATCATCCTGTGGGACAAGGACATGGAGAACTGACATAATTGTTGATCTTGTTTTTGTTATTTATGTAATTAAAAACTTACATAAGTCCATCTGGGCTTATATTTGCCTTACTAGGTGAATCAGTCTGCTTTCTCAACAAATTTGGCCCCCAGCTTTGGGCCAGTAAGATCAGAATACTTTTCTGAAATAACAACAACTGGAATGTGGTGGTACCTCTGATCAGATATAAACATGACTTATCTCATTTAACATAGACAGTTGTTCAATTATGATTGCAAAGACCCATGGCAATAAGCCCTCATGAATCTTTCCATCCATAAAGAAACAGTTGTGTATCCAGAATAAGTTTGTCTCCTCTAATAAATACTCAAGAAAGATTGGTGGAGAAGCTACAGTTTTCCTTAGAGCTACTGTAACTGTAGACAAATCAATAAAGTAGGTAATGACCACCCAGACAATGAAATAATCACTTGGGTCACATTGATCAATCAGTACCATCATTGCTATTAAGGAAGAATTAATGCCTTAATGTGATCCTAGAATAAGTTCTTTTAGGACGCAAGCTACTAGAAAATCTTTGACAAATATCAAGAAAAGTGACCAACAGGCTAAAGGAGGTGAGGGGACCAATTGAAATACCTAATGTAGTGTCATGTGGATGGATCATTATTCCTCCAGGAAGTCCCCAAGGAGGAGGGTAATCATCCCCTACCCCCGTAACTATCAGGCCGTAAGAAGGACGTATTTCAAGAGCTGGGAACTGGTGGAGGAAAATACCCTTTGCTTTTACTATAGGCTAAGGAGATAAACGGAGAAGATCCTATTCTCCTTGCTGAGATTGGTGCTGTTGGATCAGTATTGGTCTAGCACCTTTGACCACTCTAGCTATATTTCATCCTATGCAAAAACAATCCATACTAGAAACTAAGCTTACTTTATACAGAATGGAAACTTTTTTCACTGATTAAGCTGTGTTGTACATTTTATAGCAGCC